TTCGAGATGTTCCATCAGAGAATCGGCCATAATTGACTCCATGACCTTCGTGAACATCTAGGAGCTATAATGTTCGGTTAAGGTAACGGTACAAGGGGACTGGTAAAAGGCAAAGCTACTAGCACAATTCTTTTAATGTGGATACTAAGGCCCCTCATGAAACAGTGTCCAAAGATGCATCGAACATCAAATCAAGGTTGTTTACACTGCGACCGCTTGATATTTCATTCCTTAGATGATTCCAGCTGTTTATAGTATGGAGCGAAAAGAAGTTCGCCTCGGTCGTTTTGCATACCCCGCGATCTTAATTTTGCCTCTTGACCCCATCTCATCTGATAATCACCAATCTCGCACACCAACATTGTTGCCCAGTCCCGGAAAAAGGATTTTGGGTGTGGTCCCACAAACGCGCATCCCATAGAGACAAACACCTCCGGGTTTCTAGAAGACATTGTTCTACACGGCTTGTTTAGTGCTGTACTCGTTCTGTGGGCCGTTAGGGAGCACACTCACTATACGGAAGATGTAAAAAGGGAGGAACATTTCGTGATCCTTCAGCCCGGTGGCTAATTTGACTACTTCGTTTTCAGATACCTCCAGTTACCTAAGTGTTCTAACCCACTGTTCCGTGCATAGGAGTTTACGTATTTCATTGCTCGCTGGTGTGTTCCAGTTCTTGTTTCATGCACGTAAACCGTTTAGGTTACCTTGCATTCCTTCGCCGGTGGGAGAGGCTAACATTTTGCTGTCATCGATAAAAAAAATGATGGGTTTCTGACACCCCGATTTCCCTATCAGAAAAACAGATTATGTAAAAGCATATAAATGTTTTGTAAAGAGAAAAATATGGTCCATATAATGTGCTACAGAAAGATCTTACCGTACAGTAGTCTGTCTGTTGTCCCATTCCTGAAATGGAGGCAGTCATCTTTTCCGGTATTTTTCGAGGAACCATAATGTCTATCCTATTTCAATCACTTAAAATCACGTATTTTCTAGTGCACTGACGAAATGTCGCATGTTGTAATTTAGGGTAAAAAGTGGGACTCTTAAAATTTCGGGAACTGCAAACATAATTACGGACGATACAAAGCAGTTCCACGAGACAATAGCAGAATGTCAACGGGATATTCTGGAAACTTAAAGTCCAGTGGTTCTCAGAGCCAAAAGCTTTCCTGAAATATAGCAGCACCTTTTAACACGCTCACCCGTGTTGAGCTTCTGGTTCTCTTTGTCAAAGTTCGCTAATAGGTGTGTTGGGTAGAAGCTTTCTAATCATCACCAGCCGCACATGTATTTGTACGCGTCAACCTCTATGAAAGTATCTCAGATAGACTTTATTGCTATTGAAATATTGCACAGTTGGTGTTTGGGGGTGATGAGATTAGAATAATTCTGCGGGTTGACTTTTCAGGGCGGGGGATCTGACTCTGATTTTCTCCCTTTCCATGTTTGAACAGGCTCTTCAGTCGCATCCAAAGGCCGTGAAAGGAGTTAAGGGATCCATTGGTGCTCCAATGCCAGGAGATTTGATCAGCATTAATGTCCGTGAGGGCGATCACGTAGAGCGAGGAGAGAAATTGGCTGTGTTATCTGCCATGAAGATGGAAGTTGCTATCGCGGCACCCGTTACAGGGAAAGTGGTTAAAGTGCATGCAAAATCTGGGATGAAGGTTCAAGGAGATGATCTCCTGTTCGATATCGAATAGAAAAAGATATTTGTATAATCATTTTCTTCCCATTTTCTGTTGTGTCGAATAGAACAGTGTGGTATTTTTTAAATTTGCATTCCTCTCCCATCTTCCCCTTAATATCGATTATTTTATTCTAGCTGTCTTTTCTGCAATTTTTTCATTAATTAGTGTAAAGTATATTGGGTCAAATACTAGGTGCTCAGATTTCTAGCATGCTTTTCACAATCAGACATTTTCACTGTACTGCTCATGGAATTTGGTTTGCTTTCAGTGGCATCAGGTTTACCAATGCTCTTTCTCAATTCATTGATTTTCTCGCTCTTTTGAGATTTGCTGAAGAAGCCCTTTATCTTGTAACTGTAATCGTGATGGATTTGTATGTGGTTTTAATTTTGAAATTACCCTCGATCGGATATTTTTTCTCTGTTACTTTTCGAACATCAAAATACATTTCCTTTAAAAACTATTGTGGTTATTCTTGGGATTTTTATTTTAAGAACTCACAAGAACCACAATATATCTGGATAATCAAAGTAAAGTTCAAAATTTCAGTGATTATTTTGTTTCGTCGAAGCGGCTCGTTTCAAGATTGTGAAAGCATACTGCGGATTAATTCGAGGAAGCATCTTTATTTAGACTAAGGTTTTGTGTACCACTGAGTGAACGTCTGAGCTTGTGTTCCTTATGGCCTCTGTGTTGCGACTGAACTTAAGTCGTTTTGTATCTTCTCATGGTACTGTTAATGATATTAGTCTATGACACTGAATTCCGCAAACGAGTTAAAATTAAACATCGGTAAGTGCACGGAGTCTGTAGTGACACGCCACTTTCAACTTTTACCTACGACTTCTTTTCTACTGGCAACGAGCTTTTGTTTTGCCGGGTGCACCTTACCTGTTTACGCTCAACCGCGGAATTGTCACTTGTCCCGCTGAGTCACGCTACATCGCTACACGTGTAAACCTTCCACTGCAGGTCTCATCCTATAAACCGTTGGTCACGAGCTATCTGTCTTCTCACTCGTTGGGAGTAATAGTCGTATTGGTCTTTATCATACTCGATCGTTGGGGTAAATTGTGTTTGGTTATCTTAGATAGCGTTAGCTATCTAAATTGGTGAGCCCGTATGTTTTGTTTTACGGACCGCAATATATATATATATATATTTCCGGAATTTTGTTTTACATCCTTGTTTTTACGCTTTATCGTTTTTGAGATTGTTTTTCTAGCATCCGTAATCGTAATCTGTTCTCAGATTTTGTTATATACGTAACGTTTCATCATGTTCGACGAGTATAAAACAATCGTACGGGCAATATTTTTGCAAATTCCCGACCTAGCAGTAACCAAGCCGTCGGTATGGTTCACGGTATTCGAGCAAGCGCTGCGCAATAAGGGGATAGTGTCCGACAACCAAATGTACGGACAGCTCATCACGAGGTTGAGCCCCGCGCAAGTTGAGGCGTCGGAGGACATTATCCTCATGGATCTCAGCGAAAATAGGTATAGGCTTTTGAAAGAGCGGATCCTAGCGGAGGCTGGCCCTTCGGAACGAACAAGGCTGACCCAGCTTTGTCACATACAGACGCTCGGCAACAAGAAGCCTTCAATGCTTCTACGGAAAATGCGTCAAATAGCCGGGCCATCTCTTATGCACGAATCACTTCTGCGCGAGTTGTGGTTGCAGCGGACACCGAACGCCGTACAGGACATAATCGTTGCCATTCCCAACCTAGATTTAGACCAATTAGCGGCTGCGGCTGATGCTGTACTGGAGAAGCAGCAGCTACACACCGTTACGCCAGCGGTTCCACCTCTCTTTACTCCTAGCAAAAGAGATAAGGAAATCGAAACGTTGCGCTCTACGATCACACAACTATCAATGAAAGCCAATTACCCTCGACGACCTACAACGACAGATGATGGAACTCCGGAATATAGTCATGAGGGGTCGCAGCACGAGCCGCTCAACTTCACGCGGCCCAAGATCACCGTCGCGCAGCCGCAGAAACAGTCCTGCGTTAGACGCGGACGGTGTCTGTTGGTACCACCGTGAATTCGGTGACGACGCCAGGCGTTGCAAGACGGGCTGCAAACATCGCAACCGCCAATCGTCGGGAAACTACTAGGCCGGCATGTCACGACGACCACCACGTCCGGTGCATCCCAAACAGATCGTCTGTTCTTCATTAGGGACAGGAATTCTCGTAAAGACTTCCTGGTAGACACCGGGGTCGAAGTTACTGTTCTTCCTAACATCGACAGTTTCGCGCAACGGGCCGGCAACCATTTGCAAGCCGCAAACGGGACACCGATAGAAACCTATGGTCAGAAGTTACTTACCCTAGATCTCAACATACGTTGCGAAAGTTCCATTCGCTATACTAGGAATCGACTTCCTTCAAAATTTCGACCTGCTAGTAGACACTAGAAAGCGTAGACTAGTAGACTGCACGACGAAACTTCAAGCGACTGGTCGACCCGCGAATAAGCCAACCCTTATCCATCGCTCGTCCGTTCCCCTGGCGATCTACCTGCCGTCACAGCGCAGGTTGAATACCACATCGTCACCTAGGGTCCTCTTGTCCACAGTCGACCTCGTAGGTTGGTCCCCGACAAACTCAAAGTAGCAGAGATGGAATTCGAGCACATGCTACAACTAGGCATAATTCGTCCGTCCGATAGCCCATGGACCTCTCCGTTACACATGGCCCCAAAAAGCTCAGGTGACTGACGCCCTTGAGGTGATTACCGAGCGCTCAACAAGTGCACAGTCCCAGACCGCTATCCCATTCCTCACATACAGGATCTGACAGCGAACCTCGTTGGTAAGTCGTTCTTTAGTAAGATCGATTTGGTTCGCGCGTACAATCAGATTCCTGTCGCTAAAACCGATATTCCCAAAACGGCCGTCATTATTCCGTTTGGGTTATTCGAATTCATTCGCATGCCGTTCGGGTTGAGCAACGCCGCTCAGTCCTTTCAACGGTTCATCGACCAAGTATGCCGTGGACTTGACAACGTTTACTGCTATTTCGACGACATTTTGGTAGTCTCTTCCTCGACGGAAGATCATCAGCTCCACCTACGTGCACCTTTAGAACGTTTATCTCAATACGGGATAACGATCAACGCTTCAAAGTGTTCGTTTGGCCAATCATCCGTTACTTTCCTAGGCCACATCGTCTCGGCCGCTAGAATACAACATCTCCCGGACAAAATCCGGGCTATCATGGACTATCCAGCACCTTCATCGTTTCGAAAGCTACGCCGTTTCGCCGGATTAGTGAACTTTTATCGTCGTTTCATACCGGGTTGCGCAACACTGATGCAACCTTTAACCGACCTTCTCAAAGGCAATCGAAAACGTTTGGAATTCCCGTCGTCAGCCCTAACCGTTTGCGCTGTGCTGAAAAAGGCCATCCCTAACATAGCTGTCTTAGCACACCACGACCCGGACGCACCGCTAGCTCTCGTTACCGACGCTTCCGACTCAGCTGTAGGCGCGGTGCTCCAACAATTCATTCAGGATCGATGGTAACCGATAGCATTTTTCTCGAATCAATTACAACCTGCCAAGTCTGGCTAGAGTGCATTCGGCAGGGAACTTTTAGCCGTTTATCTTAGCATTCTCCATTTCAGACACGCGTTGGAAGGTAGATCATTCATCAGTTTTACCGACCCTAAGCCGTTAATTTTCGCCTCACGTTCACCTTCTGACAGCTATTCTCCACGGGAACTAAGACACCCAGACTATGTCACTCAGTTCACAAGCGACATACGCTGTCTCAGGTGTCGACAACCCCGTCGCCGATGCGTTATCACGCATCGCTTCGCTTAACACATCATCGACACCGATAGATCTTACTGCTCCTGCAACCGCGCAGAGCACGGACCACGAAATAGAACCATTGCGTCACAATAGCTCTCTACGCCTCGAGCCAGTGCTCATCCCAGGTTCAGA